TTACATTTTCTTAGATTTCCTACGAGGCTTGACCAGAAAGTAAGTAGGTAGGTACCGTTTTGGGAAAAAACAGGATAATTAAAAAAAAGAAAGAGCATATATCTTAAACTACTTTTCTACATAGTTTTCACCATTGTTTAGACATTTGTCAAAGTGTCTGTTTTCACAAAATTTTCATTTAATTTTTCAACAAATTCCTGACTCACAACAGATGGCTGCCCGCTGCGAGCCTTGTCATGAACATTGGTTCGCCCATCATTGAATTGTCGAACCCATTTTCTTAACATTCCATCACTGATAACTTTTTCTCCATAAACTTATGTAAGTTGGTGATGAATTTCAGCAGGCTTCACGTTCCTAGTGTTCAAAAATCGTATTACAGAATGCATTTCAGTCCACGGGATCAGAAAAAATGTTTCAAACATTTTGAGTACACAATTTACATTATAGACAATGTAAACACAAAAAATAAAAGTTATAGCTGATAAATGGGTACCTTGGTACCTACATAACTTCAGCTGGTTACTTAGGTTACCAGCGTGCACCTCCATCTAAGGAAAAATATACCTGCATTTCTCAACCACAAAAAAAATTGTTTGTTCTCAATATTTTTTTTAGTTCTCAAAATAAATAAGTTGTAAGGCATAAACAAAAAGTGGTTATGGGCACCCCAACCCCCAACTTCACACCTAAGGAATTCCCAGCGCACCTTCAACTGATGAAAAATTGTTATATCTATATACCAATCTTAGTAAATCGGTTAGTTCTTGAATTTTAAAGTATAGGACTGGTAGTTTGTTCTAAAAAAAAAAAAAAAAAAAAATTATAAGGCATATGCTGGAAATGCCTTAGGTGTGAAGCTTAAATAAGTGATCCTGGCTAATGAAACAGCAGATCAGTCAAAGTAACAAAGCTAAAAAGATCATATCACTTCATTCTACACTCATCCTTGACTCATATTAACACTGCCTTCATCTCAGTGATTGAAAATTGGTATTAAAAGTTTGATTTAACATAACCTTACAAAATTACAATATCCACCATATTAGCTTGTTGCCCATTAAATGGGCACTATACTGCGTATACTTCAAGTTGGCCGATGGACCCGGGACTACCTGTGGCCACCCCTATAATCCCTCGCAGTGTTCGCCGGAGCAGCCCGATGTCTAGGCGATGAGTCACCTACTGGCTGTGTTTATACAATGGTAAAACTTTTTAACAGAGTAATAATTTTACATTTTCAAAAGTGTATTTGAAATCTGCTAAAAAAGTTATGAAAAATGATATAAAACTCGACCAAAACAAAATAATATTTAATGTGATAAGGGTGTTACAATGCTAAAGTTAATCAACAAGAAAATCTGCAAACAAGTCTGTTTCTAGATGATTCATACTATTTCTAAAAGAGGGGTTGTGACTCATTTAGTAAAACTGCAAATATATGACCAGTGTGTGTAGTGACAGTCGAGGGGTGCACATCGTGAGTACGTGAAATTCGGCCAGTGTTTTTGCGCTTATTTAGAATTACATTTCTGGACGTATAGTGAATATAATTTTAAAAGTAGTCAATTTAATTTGTTCGCCGTAAATTCTTATGTAATGCCTCCTTCAGAGAAACGGGGTAAAGTGTATCATTCCCAAGCTAGAACGATAATTGCGTCTGTCCTCCAGTATTTCGAGCGAGAACGCGACAACAAAGGGCCGCTAAAAGACGTAAAGAAAGTTGTCGAAAGAGTGTCCGAAGCGTGTCAGGTGTCGATACGGACCGTGGGAAGAATAAAGGCGGAGTTGAAAAGTGTTAGTGTTGGTGCTGATACATCTCATTCTAGTGACATTCAACTGGACTTGGCAGAAGAAACTGAACAAGAAGCTGTAGCTGTATGTAACCACTCGACTCCTGTACTTCAAACGCCAAAAAAGAAAAAGCACAAGCAGTCACGGTTCTCGCTCATGGACGATTTTGACAGAACTGCGATTCGTCGGCACGTGGTAAATTATTACAAACGCAAAGAGGTACCAACGCTCCGAAAACTTCAGGTCACACTTCGTGAGGCAAGTCTATTCAGTGGCTCATTACGAACGTTATCCAAATTGTTGAAAAACCTTGGTTTCCGCTGGAAAAAGCTCAACAAAAGAAAACTGCTAATGGAAAAACCTAGTATTGCTTTATCTAGGTGTAGATTTTTAAGAAAAATGAAAAATGTTGATATGAAAAATGTAATTTTCCTCGATGAAACGTGGCTTAACGCCAACTCAACAAAGGAGGTGGGATGGACGGACGACAAGTCTGATTGCAACTTAAATGCTCCGCTCGGAAAAGGGAAAAGACTCATAATATGCCATGCAGGAGGATACAATGGTTGGATAAACTCACCACCATTGATTTTTGAATCAAAAAAGACAGTTGATTTCCACGAAGAGATGAACCACGAAGTTTTTGAAGGCTGGTTTTTTGAGGTGTTGTTAAAATCAATCCCAGCTGGCTCTACAATAGTGATGGACAATGCCCCCTATCATTCCCGGGTGGATAATCCAGCACCAACAACATCGTCTAGAAAAGGGGAGTACATTGACTGGTTGCATAACCGTGGAATTCCATTTACTCCAGATATGCGTAAGCCTGAACTCTACAATCTCATCAAACTTCATAAGCCTCAGCTTACTTCCTATGTTATTGACAAGAAAGCTGCTGACCTAGGATTTAGAGTAATCAGACTTCCACCATATCATTGTAATTATAACCCCATTGAAATGGTATGGGGCCATTTGAAGCGGTACGTAGCATCAAAGAACACCACATTCAAGTTGTCAGACGTTCAGACACTCTTCATGGAAGCTGTGAACTCCTATCCCCCCGAAACCTGGGAAAAATGTGTCAAGCACGTGAAGACTGAAATGGACAACGATTGGCTTAGTGAAGGTCTCGACGATACCAGTGTGCAGGAACTTATCATTAACCTGGCTCCAGGGGACTCGGATGTGGATGACAGCGACTGGGACAGCGATGAGGAAGACGACTTGGGAGTCGCTCAGCTTGAATGAGTAAGTTATTTCCCTTATTAAAAAAAGTATTTTTATCAGTTTTGTAGAGTTAGTTTTAATAAATAAAATTATTTTAATATTTAAAACTATAAAAACTTCTACTTATTAAAATACTAGATTGTAAACAAACGTATTATTATTTATAAAAATTATAGTTATCATAAATTACCGTGTATAATCTGTTTTTTTTTAGCTTAATTCTATTTTATTTTACTAAGAAGTTTGAAAAGATGTTTTTCTAGCATAATTGAATTTTTCAGCTGACAACTTTGCTCAAATTAAATAAATGGTTTTCAATTTTTCGTCAGTCAATTTGGTTACAAACAAATCGTAACTTACTTTTTACTTACTTATTTACTTAATTACTTTTTTCTCTTGCAGAGACAACACAAGAATCCATATTTAAGAAGACCTTGCCAGTGAAACTATCAGAAGCAATTACAGACCACTGAAGGTTTAATTTGGTTTAATAGTTAATAATTTGTTGTACAGTATTGTTTTTTTATTGATGCGTATGATTTGTTTTGTATAGTATTTTGCATTGTACAGTATATAGCATGTTGTATATATAACGTTTTTGACTGATTGTTATTGTGATTCGTATTAGGCTTATTATATCTCATTAAAACAGATTTACTATTAACAAATTCTACGATCAATTTAATTTCACCCAAACAGTCCCGAACTTAACCTATTACTATTGATTTACAGCTTATAACTTGCCTAAATCCTTTTGTTCAGGTCGAGTTTTATATCATTTTTCATAACTTTTTTAGCAGATTTCAAATACACTTTTGAAAATGTAAAATGATTACTCTGTTAAAAAGTTTTACCATTGTATAAACACAGCCAGTAGGTGACTCATCGCCTAGACATCGGGCTGCTCCGGCGAACACTGCGAGGGATTATAGGGGTGGCCACAGGTAGTCCCGGGTCCATCGGCCAACTTGAAGTATACGCAGTATAAGTGATTAAATATTTAAACATTTAGAGTTAAATATTTGAAGGAGAGGAAATAAAAATACATTTAATAACACTTGAATTGAACATAAATTTATTTACACTTATACTTTTTAACAAGCCGGTAAATATATCAAACAAAACTATGGTAATGGTGATATATTTCAATTGGACACTCCAATCATCATCAGACGCAACACAGTAGACTCCCTCTTATCCGGACTCCTCAGGACCGAGGCCAGTCCGGATAACGGTTTTTCCGGTTAAACCGACGTCCCAAAAGACTCGTTAAAACAGACCGTTTAAATGCATACTGTATACAGTATTTGACTTAAATTTAGGAGAGCATTGTATTAAGACACATGATCACGGGTCTAAAATCTTTCCCACAAGAACTTGAAGAAATTGTCCGGTTAAAGAGATGTAATTTCTGCTGAGTGTAGTCCAGTTAAACCGATGTCAGGTTAAAAGGTGTCTGGATAACAGGGTGTCTACTGTAGGTGAATTATATTTACCGTCTTGTTAAAACAGTTTAAGGGTAGGCCTACCTGTTTCAGTGTTATTAGACATATTTTTATTTACCCTCCGTAAAACCAAAAACATGCATCATGCTGATTAAGAAGTTATTTAAATTTTGATGTATAGGAAAAAGGTAAAATAACAAAAAAATTGGTAAGTTTTTTCCAGTTTTAATAATTTTGGTTTTACAGCCCTGTAAAAATATGTGTATTGTCAAGAACTAAAATATTGTTTGTGTCAAACAAAACAATTCATTTTCAGTGTGTTAAGCATCAAAACATTTTAATTTTTGTAGTTCCTAGTAACATTTAAAAAAAAATATTTTTGATTCTATTAATTTATTAAATGGATCACAATTTTCAACATTTTTAAAAGAATTTGGTTACTGTATGTATATAAACCCTGATGACGCAAATAACAGAACACGTTTTCTTGGGATGAAACGCACATGGTTCTAGAAACTAGAAACCAAAAATAAAAACCTTGAAAACAACATTTATGATACATTACATACATTTGTAACTTTACAATCAGTCTAAAATTATCTAATAGACTGTCAATCTAATTAACAGTAAACATTTCAGTTTAAAATTAACAATAACTTAATGTAAATGTCACAATATATACATTGTATGAAATATTAATTTTGTATTATCTATTTCTAAACCAAACAAGTCTTATTAAAAACCTAATTTCAACGTAATGGCAGTGGATAAATAGTTTTGCAACGCATGAAGCATGTTTTAATAGGTTAAAAAGTATTAAAGTCTTAAAACAAAAACAAACCTGAGAAGATTTAAATATGGTCCAGAGTGTCACTGAATCACAAGAAAAGGCAGAAAACTAACTAGCTGCCCAGTTAAAACACTGCCAGAACAAAAATGTCAAATAATATACTTCCACAAATTTTAATACTGAAATCTAGTAAAAATATTTTACAGTCTCAGCAAATTATTTACATAATATCACAAATCATGTTGCTTGCACGCTACACAAAAATGCAAAAAGAAATAAATAACAATTGGCCAGGATATTTAAAGTTTGGCACCATTCAAAGTTTTATTGTTGTGCAATAAGTACATGTTGGCAAAACCACTAAATGGTAACAGTCTAGAAAAATAACATCCTTACGCTATATAAAGAGTACAAAGTAAATATAAATAATGAGAATCACGAGGTAATGTATTGCTTGGATTTTATTTAGAGAGTAATATGGAACTGGGAGAACTGAAGGGTCCGATGCGGCCGTAAGAATCAACTGCCCTTACTGCAAAGTGATACTTGTGGCCTTCGATGAACTGAAAAACATCAAATTCTCAATACAAGACCAGACAATACGGTAGAATCATTAAATAAATAGGAAATTTACAAGACAATATTTTTGTTTCCCTTTCACCTGCCCAAGGTGCAGTTTCTGCAGCTCGAGTCATACGTAGAGGCAAGATAGATTGATTTTAAAATATCCAGAATCACAAAAAGTCATCATCATCACCCATAATCACAACTTCAATGATGATTTAACAATTATGATAAAAACTTACATCATACAAAAAAATTACCAATAAAAATGGGAGATTCTTGTTTTTGGAAATTAACTTTTATTAATAAATTCTCAAAAAAACTTTTTCTTGAAAATGTAAAATAACAATTGCCAAACATTCAACTTGAACCTTTGTGAACCAGATTCTCTCACACTTACTGTACTGCACTTTAAATTGCACATTAGCCTATATTTTGTCTACATTTAGTAGTTATTATATGACATCTAAAATCTTACTTCAACACTAACAAAATTTAATACAATGGTATTCAAAGAAATAATCAAAAACAGTGATCTTTAAACAATTGCTTTTCTACATATTAGGCCTACGGTACTTGTTTACAATATAACATTTGGCGAAAGTAGCATGCATTAGTCAAATAACTATTCCGTCAGTGGAATGCCTTAATATAATTTTGCCACAGAGAAGTAAGGTACAGAGGAAACATTCAACGGTGCATTTAAGTAGTGTCTAGCACTAGTCACCGGTGTCTTACTGCCACTTCTCCCTTTGTACTCTAATCGGCCCTTGCCATCACGCACTACAACGCTCACGCTGGAGGAAGACATTGACCGATAGGAACTTCCACACAGTGCTCGCTGCACGCTCTTCCTTGCTTGTCACAAGTATATTGCCCAGCACATACATACACAACATACTAGAACTGGAAGCGCACAGTCGTCCCATAAGTAAATTTCCTCCATACGGCGTACGTTGCTTATGGATTTTGTCAGTTAGAATTCAGAGCCTTAATTGTAAAATCGTAAGGAATCTGCTATGCTGTTTGGAAACAACTGATAATCAATTGCAACTGTATTTACTACAACGTAGAATGTATTATGTTGCCTACCTGTGTAAGGGTGCAGGCCATTGGCAGAGGAAGAGCCTTCACATCTCCCACCTTCTTCCACAGTTGAGTGCTCGGAGGTTGATTTCCCTCCTGGTAGGCGTACAGTTGGTAACTCTGCATGTCGGCAATGTCCTTTGACAGCGACATGCTCCACGATAGCATGATACCTGCAATATTGGGTATAATCTTAACCTTACTAGTATAAATATGAAATTTTTGATGTATATGACAACTACTGGACCAATTGAGCTGAAATGCAGGAATATAAACAATACCACAGATGGACAAGGACATATTTTTATTACAAAACTCAAGTGGGAGTAGAGCCCCGTTGATTTCAAAAGTTGCCATGTTATTACACTTAATCTATATTAGAGTTAGCATTGGTTTAAACCAACTGACTGTTCGTAAATGTTTATTATTACATTTTGGAAATTTGGCAGTTAATAAGAGGGTTTTGTTTCATTAAAGAAATATAAAAAAAGTGAAAAACACATAAGACAACAAGCTATGCCAGAAAAATCCAAGCTTAAAGTAGTGCATTCCTAGCATAGCTGTCAATAAATTATACGCTTATTTCATTGTACTATACAGGCTGTAGTTCCTGACTTTTTACCTAGAGCCATAGAAAACAGATAAGCCTAGTCAGTGCTTACCGTTGTTGGTTTTGGCTATTTTCAGTTGTGGTTTGGGAGGTGGAGCCTTCATGCCTGGTTTTGAAGCTATCGCAGGAGCCGGAGGGAGAGGCGCAGGATGCTGCAACCAAAACACACCTTACAACACCGGACACTGACAGTGCACAGCACAATATTTAAAACTGTGCAATAACTTACAAATATGTGCAATAGCCAATAGCTGAGCAAAGCCTGGGTTTTCCAAAGCACTGTGGACAAAAGTAGGGAGTGCATTCCTGCCTGAATTCAGTATCTTGGAAGACCCTACACAGTTTTCTTTATTTTTCTAAACGTTTCCATTTTTACTTCACTATACTTAAAAAAAAAACCCTCTGGGCAAGGTGATGGTACCTCATCACTATAGGCACAAAAGTAGCAAGTACGCTTTTCCCTGCGTTAAGAGTGCCGAATATGTTTCCTCTGATTACGTTTATTTGTTCCCTCCCATTTTGAAATAACATGCAGCTCTTTTCCTACAAGTATCACAACTTAATCAACTTTACAAAATAGCTCCACACACAAAATAGCCTACACAGCAGTGGAGGTTATCGGTTCATCCAACCGAGCTTGAGATCCCAAATGAGTTCTTTGGCAAGATTTAGCAGGAAGCCAGTGTACCTTGCTCATTATCATGTACCAAAAAAGGATGTGATGAAACTGGGCATACTTTAACCATTTATGAATGCACGATGAAGAGTAGAATGTAAGATGCCTTTGTGTTGCTTTGATACTGACTAACACCAGCTGTTAATTTGGCTATAACCAATAATTAAAAGCCAATTAATTGATCAATGACAGCTGGACCCTGTTTCAAACATCAAAAGGCATATGCACCATGTAACCATCGTGGGACAACAGCATCCGTCACTGAAAGTAACATTTTAATCTTTGTGGTTTAAAGGTGGCAACATTACGAGGCCACTATTATTACAGTTTGAGGATTAAATAAGTTAGGTTTCAGTTTCAACAATGCTTATGGCCCAAAACCAATGTAACCAAAAAATTAAAAGAAGAAGAATATTTTATCACCTTATGTGTGGTGGTTTGCTGCTTCATATGCATACCACTAGGAACAGGAACCCTAGCTACTGCTGTCTGTTGTGTTGTATTGATGGGTTTTACATTGCCTGAAACAAAAATCACCTTATTAATATTAGGACTAAAATTCACATACAGTATGCTACTCAAATTAACTAGGCTATTGCAGATTTATACATCCCTCCCAACCATTAATGCTCCCTAAAATTAATATTGTTTTCTCTCGGTTGTGACGGTGACTCAAATCAATGGTGTTACAATACTGACCACATTGGTCTGCATGCCATCAACATTGAATTATTTCCAGGTCAACATCTAAATGCATCACATTTTGATCAAACTCAACCCATATCAACTATATAGCGTTTTCTGCTTTAAGTGTGTAACTAATAATTTACCTTGAGGACTGGTCTGCACTGGTATCAGGTGGCCGCCCGCCCTGAAGACAGCTGGAAGGGCGAGAGCCGGTGGAGGTCGTGATGTAGTACTGCCTGGCCGTTGCTGCAAGTTACAGCAAGAGTTAGCTCACACTTCAATTCTTTAAATATTGTTAACTTAAGACATAAAGCTACCAATTGAAAACAACTAACTAACCCATTGAAAATCTTGAAGCAAAAAAATTTGATTTCTTCTGAATTATTTATACATTAAAAAGGAACATCGTAAACCTGCATAGTTTTATTCTAGCTAGTTGCTTTTCCTGGGTTTTGCAACAGGGTGAAAGTGCTGAAGGGGACTATGTTGTTATTTAAATCTACAGAAAACAGTTCCAATCACCTTTGATTGTAATAAAAACTTAACTGTAACCGTACCGCTGAGTTAAAAAAATGAATTTTGGTTTAGTTCACGATTAGCTATGTTGCAGAATAAAAATAACTAGGCCTACATCAAAATATTAAAAAGGTTTTGTGATTCATATTAACATAAACTTTACAAATGGATAGAACGTTATCATTCTGGTTTTGCGCTCCATTTTTTCATGGAGACAAATAAATATATAGGCTACGCAACAGATATATATATAGCGTTCAACCTGGATAAATTGATAAACAGAAATGTAGAGTGAGAAACAGCAAATATTTTACGGAATTAAAGCCTAAATATACATGATCCATCCAGCCTTTCCTATCTTACACCTAGCTGATAGTAAATATGCTCACAGGACTAGGAGTGGATGTAGCAACAATGAACTGAGGTCTCTGACCAGGCTTCTGGACAAGATACAGAGGCTGTTGCGGCGGAGAAGTGGTCGAATTTTGCTGTAAACAGAATTCAAGTTGAAACCTCAACAAAAATTCCTGTAGACTTGCTAAAAAAAATAATGCACAGAACATATCCAGCTATGTGAAAGATGCGGTTTAAATTACAGGTATTAAAAAGATACTGTTATTGCAATTAAGAACATCGTTTGCTAGGTTGGATTGTCTTAATCCATTTGAAATTACAACCGTACTGATTACCTAAGTCCTCACGTCCAGTTAATTTGTCATTATCTCCAAGACTGGTTATCAGACATCTAAGCCCCGTCATTGCTTGGGGTAGCAGTTTTCCCGCAACGATAGGTTTACTCAACATTGCGTTTTTACCCAACTTACCAGCCTTGGGAGCATTCCGGTTCAAACAACTACAAAGATAATTAATCTAAATTCATTTCATCCGTATCACGATACATTCTTCGTTTATACATCATAATTAGGACCTTAAATAGAAAAATCATAATTAGAAAAATCTGTAGGCCTACCTAATATTTTTCTATCAAAACAATGTTTAAAGCTCCAATGAGCGCCTGTAGTCTTTAACACTTCAACAGCTCTGAGCCTTCAATTAAATTTTAAAAAAATTAGTAAATCAGCTTTCGTATCAACCCCTGGATTTTATCGGCTCCTGAGCATTTCTAGATGAAATTTGAATGTGGCTAGTTCTAAGGGTAGGCCTAGTATTTTTTGTCACTACAATTTTATTCCCCCCTGGATTTTTACTCAACAGGTTCTAAACAAAAAGTAAATAACTATCTAACGAGTGTAACATGAACTCACCTGGACGAAACAAACTTGTGTTGAAGGCGCCACTCTGATTTGTCCACCTAAGAGCAAAGAAATTATGTTGGTAGAGCATAATCATCGGAAGAAGTTTCTATGATTATAAGTGATGTACACAATTTGTGATATTCTAAAGTAACGTTATTTCCAATTTATAAATGTCTAAAGTACTCATTTTACAAATAGTTTTTGGATTATTGAACTCAAAATTAATGACAACAATTTTTTTTAAGAATCAGTTTATAACGTGTCTTTGGTTAAAGTTTTAGTAATAAATTAAAATTGAACTGAAATTAAGTAGTAGAGTGAAAATTTAAAAACGTACGTTTTCAGGAAAAGCACTTTGCAAATTCTTTTCCCCTTTTTTCAAAACTTTTATTATTATTTTTATTTCATTAACATTTGAAGTTTCATAGAATGTCCATGGTAACGCAATATCTATGGTAGTTTTTTTTTAAGAGCGTCTTTAGTGGAAAAACACAAAATCCTGTCACGACCATAACGGACGTTTAAATTAATATTAAAAATAGTTAATATTATTTTTATAACTATGTTTTGCTATAAACTTATTTACTTTTATGACCATTATACAATAAAAAGGTCACTGAGCTTTTGGTATATTTGGTCTTTCTAGAAAAAAATAAAAAAACTCAAAAAAATTAAAAAAGCCATTCAAATCTTTTTAAGTTTGTATAACTCCGAAAAAACTTACCTGAAACCCGAAAAATCGCTATGTTTGTATAGACGTGTGCTTCTTTTGTGTATAAAACATTGAAATGTGACGATATTTTAATTTTTGAAATTTTTATGATAGAAATCATAAACGTGATGGTCAGGGACAAGCGGTACGGTCGTGAATTGTCTGGAATAATATAAATCTTTCTAAAAAATCCTTCAATTATCCTGTTTGTTATAATAAAAATATGTGTTTCAATTGAACTAAACTGTTCAATTTACAATTATATTAAAGTTATTGTCACGACCAAACACACTATAATCCATAAGGCTGGATTGGTCGTGAAAAAACCCGCGATGGTCGTGAAACTTTGGTCGTGAAATTACGTGTTATTTGGCTCTGTTCTGGCAGTAGCCCTGCACCTCATGTTCGAGGATACAAAGTGGACTTCTAGGTTAATCTAGCAATTGAAATATCTCATAAACAAAAAATAACACCGTTTCTACTTCATCGAATGACTACGTACGGTCATGGACACACCAAAATTACAAAAAACACAATCTTTCCTTTATTAATCTTGTAATTCCTCCTTTCAACTTGAAACGACCGGCACTACAATCCTGACATACACCCCGAACTAGTCTCTAAAACCAACTGACTCCATCGACGCCAGGCTTGCTACTGTCGTGCTCCAAAGTTGAAAATTTTTCCCAAATGGTCGTGACGCCAAATCGAGGGACAGACATATTTTGTCATGGTAGTCAGTTTGTAATGACAATAAAATTATAATATGCTCCTTTTTTCCAAGTTTAATAACCATTGATGACATAAAAATATGGCTTTATATATTTCGGCATGAATAATTAGTCTAAAAACAGCGTGAAAGTTGGAAAATGTACCCTAGGGACACGTCATGGTCGTGAATTTAGAGACTTTAAAAATACGAAAAAAATAACTAGAACCTATTTAAAACCAAATAAATGTGTGTAACATGTTGCCCCCGTCCCAAAAAATATTAAAACACATAATAATAAACTACAAATCCAGTATCTACGAAGTAAAAGGCCAGGGACATGAAAACGTACGTTTTTAAATTTTCACTCAGTAGTCAATAAGTTGCAAGAATTACGATCTAGTGAAGGGTTTGTTTACATAGTAAAACATCAAATAACTGTGCTGAGAGCTGATTTGGGCAAGGCCCCACTAGAAAAAACAGGCCATGCTGCAGGATCCATGACGTCACACTAGTGGATAGATTTCATTGATAAATTTATTGCCATTGCCATTCCCATATGTTTTAGGTAAATAAACAAGCTGGCTGTTTGTAAGAGTTTAGTACAACCATAGATAAAACATACTCCCTTAGTAGATTTGTCATCCTTAAGGAACAGCTGAAGCCAATTTTATTGTTATTTCTGTACGTCCAACTATAGAGATTGTGTTTTGTTTACAATTTGTTTCTAGTTATTTCAATAATTTAAAACCTGATTTAACCGAATAAAACGATATTATTATAAACAATAACTGGTCTCCTAGTTATATAACCAAATAGTAAAGCACAAATCATGAAAATAATCCTAAAATAATAGAAACAAAATTTCGTCTACCCCAGCGATCAGTGTGGATGTACATGAACTAGACACAAAAAACAAGCTTCAAAATTTACAATGGGATGAGGAGTCTACTTGTGTTGCTTAGTCTATGGTACAACTATCCACCATTGTGACGTAGTGTTGCGCTGCCCGTGCATGGCCTGTTTTTCTAGTGGGGCCTTGATTTGGGTCAGCTGATAATATTATGAATATTAGAGTAATCATCTAACGTTGGATAAAACCTGTATCAATTTAAATTACCTATCTTTAAATAAAAGTGTTGAATAATTTGCTTCACTTACCAACAGTAGCTTGTGAGGCTTTTGCTCTTTCTTCTTTATCTGTGAGATCAATAACTTCCAACTCTTTATTTGGGGTTTGAATGATTTTGACAGGAGTTGTTGTGGTCTGCTTCACCGGAGTAGAGGGTGGAGTTACCTAAACGATACAAGAGATTTACTGATAGTTCACTTACATCTATAACATTAATCTAACAAATAAATACCACGACTATGGCAAGAATTAGATGCTGTCCAGAAAGTAACAGACGTTTTGTGACACAATAAAACAAAGAGACAAAAAACATGAAACATTAACTGGGGGCCCCAGTAACCCCCCCACCCCTTGACAAGGTCCTAGAACCCCACTGTATGTCATGTTAATGTTACTGGGGGTGTTTCACACTAAAAGGGGTCATTCCCTAGAAAATTATTTTTAAAGCCGTTCAGTTATTGTTTTTTAGACCCATTTTTAAGGTCTAGAACTGTGTTCAAAAACCTCCTATACGTTTTTATGACAAAATGTATTTAATTTACATTTCCAGAGCTTATACTAATAATACTCTGGGCCTACGGGCCAGACCTTTTTACTTTATATTGGGTAAAAAGCTTTGACCTACGGGTCCCGGGCCAAAATCAAGTCCGATCATAATTGCATTGATGGAAAGTTTTTTTTTATCAAAAACTATAGGCCTACTATAATCGGTTTCTATAACTTCTGTGGTCACAGAAACATCAAACATCGGGACTACAGTTTGAAATACAAAAAGGTCGACATTAGATAGCCTAGTCAAAAGACCAGGGTTTGAACCTTTCCCTTTTGAAAGGTAAAAAATTCCACTGCCGTAAAAACACCCAGAATTAAAAATACATTCACGGCAAAATAGTAAGCACATTTGGTAATAACAGACATTTTCTACATCTTATGCAAGCACAATGAAATAGTAAAAATCTTCTGCGTTTGCATCCGCAACACCCACATTATCCTCGTGTTTTGCGATCGCAGCAAAATTATGAACGTCTCTTGTGGTCATGTAGAATGGGAGAATTGGTGAACATCTTTTGCAGTCAGGAAAACTTCATCATCCTCTTGTAGGACAGCGGCACAATTTGTGTTTTTCGATCAGGCAACCTTTGCTGAAAGCCATCGCAAGAAAAAAAAAACTTGCCTCAATAATCAAACCGACTTAAAAGAGATTGTCGGTGAAATCATTTTTTCAAGAGTAATACAATTCTTTTAGGCCCCCCTCACAGGCCTAGGCCCCCAACAACCGCCGTAAGGGAAACACAGCCCTGGTCTTGTTGCTTGACGTACCATTGTTGGATTTTTTGGCCGTAACTGTTTGTGTAGGTTTCTTTAGATGTTCTCCTTTCTTGTCACTGACAAGTCCAGATTAATTTTTTTCTATCAAGATATAAATTGCACGAAATTTCCCTTACCTTAGGAGCCAATAACTGAGGAGTCGTAGGTCGAGAGCTTGGAGCCGATGCGGTTTTGGGTGGACGCCCAATCCTTCCTTTTGACAGTGATAGGCTCTAAAGTGGAAGAAAATGATTTTGGTTACAAATTGAAGAGTAACAAAACCAAATAATTCATAGCTACGTATAAGAAGTCAAAATATGGTCAAAAGCTGATAACTTGAATACATCAGCGGAGTAAACCTCCCCTGTTTGCTATCACAATGATAAAATCAGTGCCATCATCACAAAATGCCCAGTGTTGACTTCAGGAGATAACACTAGGTAGAACAAATATTGATAGTTACAGGTACATTAGAAAATGTAAAAGTGTTAAGAGACAAAACACAAAAAGAAATAATACATTTAGAAATAAAGGCAAAGATCAGTGTAGAATTAATTAAATTAGTTTTAAAGAAACAAAGGGCTTTACAAAAAAATTGTGACATAATTGAAAATGATTTGTGCAGAGCTAATCTGAAAGTATACCACTAGTAGTGAGCCAGTAACAGTATTACAGTATCAAACAAAGAAGTAAAAAAAAAAAATTATATAATACACTTACCGGAGGCATGAATGTTGTTGCAGGTTTAACAACTTCCTTTGCATTATCTTTCTCAGGTTTAGTTCTAGCCCCTTGTTGTTCTGGAGCCTGTGTAGTTCTAGGCCCTTGTTGTTCTTGTGTCTGTGCAGCTTCGTTGTTTGATTTGTTTCTAGAAGCTACCAGAGCTCCATGCATCTAAATAAATAAAGTCTGTCAAAAGTAATTCTATTGCTGTACAACATATATTTGTACAACCACAGTACCTGTAAATGCTCAAAAATATTTTTTTAAAGGGGACCAACAAAAGAGAGTTAATTTGAGAATCTAGTTAATCAAGTTTATCAAATAGCAGCCTACATATGTTTGAGTTTTCAAAATATGTTAAAATAAACGGTATTAGCAATCTGACACATAATTTCTCCCTTAAGCTTGTCAACAACCTTTATCATGGGTAAGCGGTGAAGTTAACCATAATGATTTTGTAGGAAAAAATCATAAAAGTTGCAATAACTTTCGAACAGTAATTGTTACAGTAATGGGGGTTGTATTATTTTTTTTAGAATTATGAGAACCATATCACATTAATTTTAATCAAACCCGGGATTTTGTTGTAATTTTATAGGATTTTTTATGGGAAAATAGCATAAGTTACATTAACTTTTGAACCATAATTTTTGCGGAAATGGGATTTTTACCATTTTGTTCAGAATTTAAAGGACTATAACATAATAAATTTTTATCAAAATCGTTTAGGCCATTTTTATAGAAAATCTGATTTTTCTGTTACCTATTTTAAGGGTTTTATGGAAAAATCCCTGTTAAAAATCAAGATTTCAAAAAACTGAAAAAACGCCTGGAGATACCACAGATTATTACCTACATACCAAATTTCATCAAAATCGGACTACAGGTGTGGTCTGTAGCACTGTACACATCCATAGATACAAACACACACACAGACATCACTTCAAAAACCACTTTTTTGGGTTCAGGGAGACCACCCAAAATGGATATATCCACTCAAACTCAAAATTTTTGACGAAAACAATACTTTCTCCATTCCCATAAACTATGTATAGGGGAAGAAAGTAAAAGAGAAGAATGTATTTATGCTGGTCTACCATTAGGGATGGAATATCTAATAGTGAATTTATCATGTCAAATTCAATCTATAAGGGTAGAAACACACATATAGCGACTAGAAGCGGCGCGATTTAGAGCGACAAAATCAAACCTATACAATCAAGTAGCAACGCGCACACAACGTTGCATGTGGTGTTGTCTAGCACCAGACGTCCCATAAGATAACATGGCAAACAGGTGACACCAGCTCATTAATTCGGATATTAGCCATTTAAATTTAAATTTATGAACATAAATGTATTCAAATATTGACAATAAAACATATAGAATTGAAAACCAAAACAAGATTATAAAATTGAAAATATTTTTTTGTACATTTAAAGTGGAGTCCATATTTTCATTAAAAAATACACAAACAGGCCTACTATTAGCTGCTACCAAAACAAAACAGCTGTTACAACCCTATTTGCGATGTTGCCACTTCGAAGGCCGCAGCCTTTTTGCTGTGCTGCAAATTGCTACCAACTTGCTATGTGATATCTTGGAAATGATCCAGCTAACGTTCGTGTCGCTCTCGCGATAGTTGCTCCATGTGTGCGACGTCAGTCGCTCACAGTCGCGCTGCTACAGCTCGCTCAGGATCACCCCGCCCGCTCCGCTCTGAATCGCTGTATGTGTGTTTCTACCCTAACCATTTCATAGAGTACAAACTGAAGTGTTTTAGCTTTACTATTCCCTTTTCTATACTTTCAATAACTGGGTATCTACGTGTTCATAAAAAAATAAATTAAAATACTGTAGTTGCAATAAAACCTAGTTGGTACCAACATAACAACATTATATAGCGGCTCGATTTTCTAGTAGAGTTGCCGTGCCAGTGTTACCTCCAGCTGTATTTCTAACTCAATGGTAAATACATCCAAACTATTGGTTATGTTTAATACCGTCCCCAAACAAAAACCATTAAAAAATGAAATTACCATTAATAAATGCCACTGGCATGAACACAAAATATACATATTGCAGTAAATCTAAGGTTTAATTTGAATTTTTGTACAAAATATCAATTACAGTTTGGTCAATTTCTTACCAAATTTACACTAGGCTCATGACAGAATTTGTTCTAGAAGGGGAGTCTAGTAGGCTACTGTAGGCCTATATCTAAACAATCTGTTGTCTGAAGTCCTATTACAACAGCTGTGTTATGTTGGGTGACCATTTTTAGTAATTATTATAGTTGCCTCTAAACTCTAATTTTCCATTGTAGGATAGCCGGACCTCCTTACTTAATCTGTATCGTGGCTTTTCCTATACAACCTAGGCTCAATGGGTATTTCTAAAACTCTAGTGAACAGTGATTTTCCAGGAAAGCAACCTTTTCACATAAAATGCCTATATCACTGATCTGTTCCATAACCAGAAGTCGGGTTTGCACATTTGGCATTCGCTGAGCACCAAGCTGTTTCCCTAATCACAACTAGTGTTAGTCTACTTTTGAATCCGTGAACGGTAGTGCTCATTGTAGTATAGTGATGGCCATAAGAACCCGTAGGCCCCCCCTGCAAGTTTGTCACTGGGCCCCCCCTCTCCCAATAATCTTTAAACATTATCCTGGGTATTTACAGATGAGCTTGCACTTGGGATCGGCACAGCATCTTCCGAGGGACTGAGACGTCATCATAGTCTTCCATGATCGATATAAAATCCTTAATAACTTCATGGGTTCTCGGAAATATTATCATCATCCTCAGTGACCGTGGCAAAATTGTGAATACTTTCTGCAGTCACAGAAACACTATCATTGTCTAACGTGATTGCAACCAAACCCAGGACCAGGACATCTCCTGCGGTCATTTAGACAAAATTTAGACAGCTGTCTACCGCAATCACTGCCAAATCCTTAATATATCCCGTGGGGACGGAAACATTCTTTTTCTGCAATTGCAGCAAAATCCAATATATCATAAAGAAACATCAACGACTTCTGTGATCAAAATATTGAGTATCTTGCATGGCCACTGAAACATTAATATTGTCTTCCACTTTCGCAGCAAAATACTAAACATCTCCCGCGGCTGCGGAGACATCTTCATCGTAACCCGCGGGGGAATGCTCTAGTAGACATCCCGATCGCAGTAAAAGCGCAAGTCATTCAATCTTGTGGGCGTGATAGGTACTCGCAGACGCGTTCTGCTGTGGTGATGTTATCGCAATCGTTCTTTAAAAGCTCTGCTCAAGCTCAGTTTTCTAGCTTAGATCTCTCAAGCTAGATCAGTGTTAAAAAACTAACATAAATACTTATATCAAGTTTGTTATGATAGGGAGGCCACATGGCAGGGCCCATAGCGGGTCCAGGTCCCAGTAAAATTTTATAAAAAATCCCAGTCAAGGCTTGCAGCCCCCCCCCCAGCCTCATCCCCCCACCCTGGGCCCACAATTGCCGCCACTGTACCTACTCTATTTTGTTAAATATTTACTATTCCTGCCACAAAGCGACAAATTTTGGTTGGAAATCGGCAAATACTAACACAAGTATCTGCTACAACTTGTCAAATGTTCAGTGTTCAGTGAATGCCTTATGTGTGGATTAACTTTTAATTATCATGAGATACAGTAGGTAATAATAGAAACAAGAAACATTGTGTAATGAAACTTACCGAGTTGGCCAACACCACTTGCAGTCCCACTGATCTAGTCACCTTGAATGGTAACGGCAGTTTGTTTTGATTCTCACGCTTAATGTGTGATAATTCATTCAAGAACCGTTTTAGTACCATTTCCAACTCCTTATTTTGTTTCTCTATCTGGTGAACTTTTTTCCGCCACATTTCGTTGGTTTCCTCTAACTTTTGAGTACGCAACCTCATCTGTCCTATTTCACTTTTATAAGACACGGCCTCACATATTTTAGAAACAATGATCTCTTCAAGCTCTGACCGTTTAAGTTTTTTCAGCTGATCTTTATGGAATTTTTTCAAGATCGGTACTTTTTTCTCAACTTGAATTCTTGCCTTTTCTACAACTCGCTCAATAGCAAAATCTAGGTTAGTCATCTTCTTTGGTTCGGGCTTCACAGGTATATTAGATTCTTGAGCCTTTTCAATTCCATTTTTAATTGACTTTTTATCTGAAACATTCCCAGCAAGTTTATTTTCTAGATTTCTAATAGAAGAGGATATTTCTTTTGAGAAAGATGTTGACTTTTTGGGTTCCTCCTTTTTTGTTTCACACGTTTTACTTGAGATTGATGGTAATTCTTCAGGAGATAATTTCATCTCTTTTGATTTGTCGACAATGCAACTAGTATCTTTTTTATTATTTTCATCACTCACAATAACTTTTTCTGAACTTGACAGTTTTCTTTCAGAATTTGTAATTGATTTATTTTTCAGACTGGTTGCAATTTGTTCTGTTTGAAGAGTTGTTAGAGAAGGGTCATCTTCTCTCTGTAATGCCTTTTCAATAATTTGTGTCAATGATGTTTTAAAAGTTACAGTATCACTTTCCTGTACAGAAATGTTTTTGGCAACCTTTTCAGTAACTGTTTCAGATAATACCACATCTTCACTTCTACTTGAAGCATTTGGACTTATAACATCAGAGGTGAGTGAGTCTTCTGATGTATTCAGTACAATATTTTCTTCTGCAGTTTTTTTGCATTCTATTGTTTTCTTTCCTTCTGTACTTTCTGACAAAACATCTACAACTTTGTTATCTTTTTCAAGATTATTTAAACAAGATACATCGATGTTGTCATCAGATTTTGTTGTATTTTCCTTTTCACCACCAACAAATTTAATGTTGTCATCAGATTTTGTTGTATTTTCCTTTTCAACACTAACCGATTTAATTTTATCATCAGATTTTATTGTATTTTCCTTTTCACCACCAACAGATTTACAATCTTCTAAAGTTTCATGCAGTTTTGTACGCTTGTTCTCATTTTCACTAGATGGCGATGAAGGTCTTTTCAAAACAGGTAAACTTTCAACAGGTAAATTTTCTGCTAAAACACTTTGGTCTTCTATTCTTGGCTTCTTTAACTCAATGATATCAACAACTTCTATAGATGCACTTCTTTTCCTGAGTTTGTCACCTACGAAATAAAGAAACTGGTTAAACAAGTTGTTTTTATATTTTATTTAAACAACAATATCACTAGCCTACTTAACTTTTTGTCCACAAAATTCAAAGACAGTAAAATACAGTAGGCCTATATTAATTCAGCCCAATGTGCATTGTTTATTTAAAACTTATGCCAAAAATAATCAATGAGCTTTAAGTATATTTATGTATTAGTTTATTCAATGTCATACATCTTAGAGTTTATGCCTTTTCACTTAATTCACAATGGACCGTTTTATTATTATTTTAGCGAATTTCCCATATAGGGAATAAGCTATTACCGTAGTACTCATGGTAAGACCTGGACCCGGGACCGATTTTTTTTTTCGTTTTGAGGTCCCTAGAGGCCAAAAATAGCATCCGTTCAAATTCATATATATATATATATATATATTTATATATATATATATATATATATATATATGTGTCCGTTAGCGCGATAACTCGAGCAAAAATGATCCGATTTTGATGAAATTTGGTACAAACGTGTAAACCTACGTTTATTCGAACGAGTTCGCGAACCAGCATGATCGGACCATGGGAACGGGGGTTTATGGGGGCTTTTATGGGGTAAAAATGGGTTTTTCCCATTTTTGACCCAAAAAACTTAAATTTTTGCAATTTCTTTACAAACTATTTTGTAGAGCTTAAAAAAACAAATAATTTAGTATATTGAAGCGTTATAATGCGCCTAATGGTTGCGGAGAAAATTCAAAAAAATTGTAAATTTAAAATTCCCATGTTTTTCTTATGGAGGATAAGTAAACTGTTGTAGTTTGCTTATTTATTAACATATTTTGCCCAAATTTGGAAAATGTTTTTATTTCTTACTAACTATTAACATTTTACATAAAAAAACACTTTAACCCTCCCTGTTGCAGCAAACCTAAGTATGTGTTAAACTGTTGATTTAAATAGGGAATAAATGTGATATTTTTAAGGAGACATTTTAGTGTAAATCCAACCAGGCAAATGGAAATTCGCTTAGTCTGCAGGTTTCCTGCGGCGGGGGTATTTTTTATATATAGGCTATAGCCGATAAGAGGCAGTTCAAAATCACCAGGACAAGGCTAGTCCCTTTCAATCACACCTTGATAAACCAAAACTAGGATACCTAAAACATTTAAATAACTTGGAAAATAAGTTCGCAATGGGAATTGTGAGCTGTGGAATGGGCATGTGACCTGGCTTGGCCAATGGAACAGAATGGAGCAGACGACACAAATCTAATAACATGATAAAGCTGAGGAAAAACCTATCAAATACAGTATTTCAAAAAATGAATTTTGTGAATACTGTTGTAGTTTTTTGAAATCAAAATAGTTTTTAAATTCTAAAATATAGGTTAACTAGAACCGCTTTATCCCCTTTATTTTGATTAATATGGGTTTTACCATGAAAGACTTTAAGGAGCGTAACACAATCTGACATATTAAAATAGCAAGGTTTTGTAAATAATTTAAATCTACAAGTTGATCACTTTGTAAATTGTGAATACAGAGGTAGCCTAGTACAATTTCTTTTACTTTTTACTAATATAGCATAGAATTCATAAAATATCCCCGTCGCAGCAAACCTGCATACTAAGCGAATTTCCATTTACCCAGCTTGATTTCTACTAAAATATTCCCTGTAAATTTTCAGATTTATTTCCTATTTAAATAACATTATTTTAGTGAGTAGTTAGGTTTGCTGCTACGGGGAAGATGTTGAGATGTGTTTTTTCAATTGAAATATTGATAGCTTAATATGAAATAAACCAAATTGCCAAATTTGATTAAAATATATCTATAAACAAGCAAACTAGAACAGTTTATTTATTCTCCATAAAAATAACATGGGAATTTTAAATTTACAATTTTTTTAATTTTCTCTGTAGTCAATGATCATTCAAAAACACTTCAATATACTAAATTATTGTTTTTTTTAAGCTCTTCAAAATGGTTTGGAGAGAAATTTAGAAATTTTAAGTTTTTAGGGTCAAAAATTAGAAAAACCCATTTTTACCCCATAAAACCCCCCATAAACCCCTGATCCCATGGTCCGATTATGCTGGTTCGCGAACTCGTTCGAATAAATGTAGGTTTACACGTTTGTACCAAATTTCATCAAAATCGGATCAATTTTGCTCGAGTTATCGCGCTAACGGACACATATATAAATATATTCATATATATATATATATATATATATATATGAATTTGAACGGATGGTGTTTTTGGCCTCTGGGGACCTCAAAACAAAAAAGTAAATCGGTCCCGAGTCTAGGTCTTGCCATGAGACCTACGGTAATAGCTTATTCCCTATATGGGAAATTCGCTAAAAAACCCATGTAACTTTTCCATTTGAGATTCTTTTTTTTAAGGATATAAAAATAAATTAATTCATCCGTCTTATATCGGTGATTATCATAATTTTTAATGCCTTTAAATTCAAATTAGTGATTCATTGACTTATCATTGAATTACCAGTCTTACATTAAATCACTCAAATGAGTCACTTACATTTGCGATCATCAGACATAGAAGATTCAGCTGAACTAGCATTGTTCTAGGTCTGATGATGAGGAATTATAAAGCTAAAACAACCAAACGGATTGAGCCAAGGCAACACTAAATAAACAATCGTAATGCTCCTCTGGCATGCGACGTCATCATAGGAGACGGCAATTGTAATGTTATTTTTTATTTATATTTTTTTCCGAGAAAAGATTAAAACAAGCAGCTGATCACAAACGGCAAACATTACGTCATTACCGTCGCCTATGATGACGTCATGCCAGAGGAGCATTACGGCCTGTTTATTTAGTTTTGCCTTGATTGAGCTGTGGACAAAGGTTAAACCTATTTTTGGTTACATCACAGCTCAGGGGCTAAAACATGGATTTTAACTCGATAACAAGACCTTCATAACAAGCCACCATTGAACCATTGTCATTTAAAAATACCCTTGATATTACATTTACCCCTAACCACACATTTTTGCAAAAACCTCTACAGCAGCTCTACAGAGTCAGCCTTGATACAAGTTAGTCTTATTTGATAATCCTCACGAGGGACTTGTTATCGGGGTTCTACAATTCTTTGTTACCAAACAAAAGTTTTGCTATGACAGATATCAGTTTTTTTTGGTATTTTTTTTAGGGAAACAAAAGAGCTTTTTACCTTCACATGAAAGAACAGGCGAGCTTGATATTGGTTCAGATTCTTTTGTTTCAGGCAAACTTTCATTTGCACAATCCATAAGAGCTTCACTAGTTTCTCCCTTATCAACAGCTATTTTACTGTTATCTGATTTGGTAACGGCATCACCAAGTTCATCAACTTTACTTTCAGATTGTACAAGAGGTTTATCTTGAGTCAAACATTGGACTTCAGATGGGATTTCATCCTCTGATGTTTCAATTGAATCTAAAACCATCCATTCTTCAGAATTTCCAGAAACATTTGATTTTTGTGATGATGTTAGTCCATCGTCTGAAGTGCTACTTGCACTATTTTTAGTTTTATCATCCTGGCTGGTTATCAATTTGACTTCACTTATGTCCTTCACTTGATCTGTAATAGCTAAAGCTGAACTAGCTACTTTGCTGTCTGTTTTAGCAGTTGGACTTTCTTCACTAGGTTTACTTGCATCTCCTTTTTCCACTCCCACTTTAACTTTGTCAACTACCAAATCTACATCAGATCTGTTACCCTCTTTTGTTACTTCAGAGTTATCTGTTGATTTTTCAACATCTTTCTTCTGAATGAGGCTTTCTTCAACTTTGTGCTCATCGACTTCCACAGGGGGCTCTTGAATTTCTTGACTGTTGTCTTCAATATCTTCCAAACTATCTAAATGATCTTCAATTGATTCTGTTCCATCAAGATTGTTAAGTTCTTCTTGAATTCCAGCACTATTTGAACTAATGCCTGAAAGTAAAAAAGAGATATTGATAAAAATGGTAGAAGACTTTCATATCATTAAACATTAAACTTGAGTCAGTGAAAGTTTATTGACAATGAATAAGCAACGTAAAACTTATGCCTAAATATAGAATTGAACCACAGTTGTATAACCATGGTCAAAGATTGAATATTTTGCCATGAATAAAATATTGTTTTTAAATTTATTATTAATTGTTTAACAAGATCAACTATTTTCAGTAAAACAGTAGTCAGTATGTCAACTGGTAGACCTGAAGATAAATTATCGTATAGCCTAAGCATTTTTTCATAGCCTAGACTGATTTTTATAACTTTTTACATGCGTAAGAAGATGTTCTCACAGCTTTAAGTAATGCTAAAACAAGTTTTTTTATTAGAATTGTGTTTAATTTTTAAGAGTAAATTGTCAATGCTGGGGTGATTTCACATCGCCAAACATCCAAAATAACAAGCAGTTAAATTCATTTAAACATTGTTATTTACAAATTAAAATGGACATTCATTTTGTTATCCTACAGGTTGAAAACACTAAATGATGAATAGGTTGGGAAATGGTGGAAAATAAAATTGCAATACATTTGTTAGCCACAAGCTATGGAATATTGGCATTTTTTAAACAGTCTTGATATTATTTTACTAAAATTGTGACTAAAATTCTTTTAAATTCAAAGCAAAAGTAAGGTTTAAAAATGATTTTCAAATTACCCAATAAATCCTCAATTTCTTGGACAATTTGAGGAGCTGAGAGGCTGTCGTCATAATTTTTCTTCGATGGTGAATCTCCTCCTTCTGAAGAATCTTCAAGAACTAAGTTGAAGTCCTCTTCATCGTCATAAAATCCATTTTCTTTTCCATTGCATTTTGCTGGGCTTCCAGTCTTTCCATTAATTCCGTTTGTTAAAGTCGATTTTCTAATTAATTCTCTGTCTTTGCTCTCTGGAATTTTAATTTTGTCTGTAATATGCCCATTAGACATTTCAGATTTCACTTCACAGCCTGCCATTTGTTTTTCCAAATCTGCTTCGGTTATAGAATCTTCTAAATACTCTGAACCGATACTATTATTTATAAATTTCATATTAGGTGTGTGTAGTACGTCATCGGCTATGGTTTCTCAGCAAACAATCACTATGTTGACTCTGGAAAAGAAAACTGTATTTAGAATGTTTAAATTTCATGAGCATTGTCTATTTATATTTCCTGTAGGTTCTGTGTTCATCCCTTCAACATTGACTATTAATATAGCCTACTGAAATACTAGGCCCTACTAATAACTTGGTTACTGTATTTATTTCACCTAAAGAAAATGGATTATTTTAGAAAATGTTTAATGTTAAATTAAATTTCTTTGACCAATTTTACTTGTTTCTACATATTACTTTATTGTTGTATTTCTAAGATTTAAATATTTTAATTCTCAGCCAAGATAAAATTTGTAGAAAAAGGGATTAAACACTAGTACATAATTAATTGAAACTTAATTTCCCCATTCAGAAATATCCAAGATATGCAGAGTAGCCTAAAAACTAAATAAATGTTGAGTTGCATTGAAAACACTTCATAATAATGTTGAGAGAATTTTAGGGCGTGATAGTTGGACAATACAGTACAGTAGTAGGCTATGCCTATACTGCAGATCTATTAAAAGTTTGTTTCTTCAGTCTGCAAGGCGATGATTTTGACAGAATAAAACAAACCGTATCGTCTCAGTTATTCTGGATTGACGATCCCTGTATTTTACATGGCTCTATCCAATAATCCAATCATAAAAAATGCCATCGTTCCCATCCCCCTCCCCCCATAACCACAGAGACCAGACATATCACAACCGTGAAGCAGATCTGAAGTCTGCACTCTGTACCCAAGAGTGGAATTTGCCGTCCAAGTCAGGCTGTCAGGCTGCGGCCACACGGGCGTTTTTCTCACGCACAAGAGCAGCGTGAAAACACGCGAAAAATATGAGTAGCATGGTGAATGCCACACGCAGTGTCTTTTCCCCGCAGTAGCGGGCATGCTACTCCAATTTTTCGCGTGTTTTGCGTGTGTCCGCAGCCTCAGGCTGTTAGTTCTTCGTTCTTCTCTTCCTATTGTCGTGAAGAAGCACTGACGTGAGGATTGAGGATAGGATTGTGGAGGATGATTTATTTAACTAAACTTAATTTCAATTATCTCGTCACGCGCATTTGAGTGTTGTCAAGATAACTCAGAATTAGGTACCTGCTTATTTAATGCACCATTTAAGTTGTAACTTATACATAGTCAATTTACACAATGTAAAATAATAAATGACATCTTCCAGCTGCAGCCACCATGATGGTTCGTCGGCAATGCTTCAAATCCATGACATATACACATACAGTAGTTGTAGTTCCTATATTCCGATGATGACCTGTTCCTGTTCGCTGCCGCTCGATTAAACAACCGTTCCCCAATATATCTCCGCCTCAATAATAGCAACAATCACATCCTTTTCAAGCAGGAAACTAGATTTCGTATTATACAAAAATATTATCGGCCTAAAGTAAACTAACAATGAAAGACGTTTACGTATAGTTAGTATATATTATTCCTTAGTTAAAATCATTGCGCGCCGTATGGTATAGCATCTCAGATTCCTCTTCCAGTAACTGGCGAGAACCTCTTGTACGAAGGAGGGGGGGAGGGGCGGGACGTCACTCTACTCTTCACTTCACCATTACCGTAACGAGAATTAGTAAACCTTCATTCAATTTTTATTTTATAGCCTATATATTGTTATATTATCAGTAAGTTTGGTTGGTTCGGTTAGATTATGACAGTTAAATTTTATAATTAACAAATTTAAAATTAAAAATTATAAGTAAACCTTCAAAGGATTTTCATCTACACTTATATCTTGTTTATATTATCAGCAAGTTCAGTTGGTTAGGTTATGTTATGGCAGTTAATGTTATAATAAAAAAAATTAAGTTAAAATTAATTTTAAAGTTAAAAATTTAAGTTAAAATTAATTTTATAATAAGTTAATTTTTTCAAACTAAAAAATTATAAAATAAATATAAAGATTTTCTTTAATTGGCTTGAGGGGCTCTCCCACAATCCCCCATTCCATCGCACAAGAGGTTCTCGCCAGTTGCTGGAAGAGGAATCTGAGATGCTAGTGCCGTATGGACTCTTAAACCTTACGCGGCGTAGTAAAATAGTTCTGAAGCAATCCGTACTACACGCTCTCTTTTAAGATTTGTTTAATAATAAAATAATAACTTAGGCCTTGGGCCTATTCGCCTATTATTTTGCTGGAGTTTCTACTCAAATTTTTACTATACTTAACTTAAAAACGTTTACTCGGACATAATAAAACCATGACGTATCATTTTAATGAAAACAACGTTTTGAATAAGTTAAATACTAATGATTCAACAGGAACAAATAAGAACAGATGTTTTTACATCAACTGTTTTATCCTAAAACGTATCGTCATAATAAAGGAATTAAACACAAACTCATCTGTCTTTGAAAGAACAAGCGCAAAGATAATTGAATCTTGACATTCAAATCAATTCAGTCAATTAATTGCCACTGGAGTAATAACTCATAGAATTTGAATGCTGTAAACTATTTCGAGGGTAGGTGAAAACTGTTCCAGGCATATCAGAACCGAAGTTATTACATGACACAGACAGAGAGGCTAACAGCACGGAATGGTGTTTCATCCATGTTTTCTGTCCGTAAGGTTGGTAGTACATCAAACTGAATAATATTTGATGTGGCACTGACACTGGCATCTCATGTGAGGGAAATTGCCAACCGCTCAAACTCCAATGACGATGACAGTAGTATGTGAAGGTGAACAATAAAAACGTATCAACCAACATCAACAATAAAAAAAATCAAGAGTATGAACTAAAGAGACTGACTTACCGTTGTGTCGACAACATCCAACCAACTCTTGTCAGATATCCCTCCGCCTCCGCGCGTAGTTTGCACGCGGCCGGTCAATAATATAGTCCCAACAATTTTCTATTACTACTTCAGTATAAATTGTCAGAAAATTGTACAATATTAATTTAAACATTCAGTTTAGTTAACCAAAAGTAATCCATCATAATATTCTAGATATACTGGCTTTTTATTTGGTTTACAAAACTAATGTTAATAGTGGTTTAAAATTGTGAACAAGAAACAAATTTACCAGCAATACTGTAGCAGTACACTAAGACTAGGGCTACAAAAACAAAATCAAAACTTTACTTTTGTTTCATAAACATCAATACATGAAGGTAATACCGCATGAAAAGAGTACATATATACGTATATATTATGAAGCAATACAACAATAATGGAAGACGGATGTTTGTAGGCTGAAAATAGAAATAGCTAGCCTATTCGAACAGGAATGGAAGCATGAAAACAACTTGAATAAACTTATGTAAAGGTTGCTAAAGCTTTATAATAATGACAATAAATCTTAACAAAGCTCAAAATAATTTTGTTTGGATTGGGCCGAGAAAAGATTAGATAACTTTCAGAACATTTAAAAATTGTCAACAAAGGTTTCATGCATTTATTTTGATGCCGTAGGCCTACTTACAATGATACAAGACTAAATTAGTATCATAAGCGAAAAACGTAGGCCTATTTTGTACATGAGTGGATGAGTACTAAGGGGACATGTACCCCCATAATGGCGAAAAAGGTTAGAGACAATTAAGTTAATTATAGCCTACCTTAGGAATATTTTTTCATAAATTTAACATTAAATTCTCAACTAAATTCTTCGTTAAAAATATTTTATTCAATGCATAATTTAGCTAGTTTTTATACTTTTATATTTACAGCTTTTAGTTGCCGTTATACAGTATATTTTCAGTTTTTAGACATAAGAGCTTAAAACATTGTTAGTTTAAAATGTGGGAACCCAATTTGTAACATATTTCTTTTGTACCAGGACGAATGACACACAATACAAAATATATATACCTACAGCTAACTATTTTTTATTGTTTAAACTAACTCTTTATACCAACGTATTCACAAATAATAGGCCTAACGGTAGAAATCGATACCAGAGAAGTGGACATTAACATTATTGCTCATTTGTTGCCTCGTTACTTTTGTTATAGCCAAGTTACCATAAGTTAGGTATTATTTTGAATTGAGGCAATTTTGTCTACTTCAAAACCCCCAATATGATAAGACTATTAGCTAACCCTTAGGTTTATTACGATTACGACTAATATTACATAAGTAACACTCTGTAGATCTAGTCGCAATTGACTCTGAATTTAAATTACCTATTAGAAATTGCAAGACGTTTATTTCAAGTTGTATTTCTAGATTAGTCTAAGCCAATAGGCAGCAGTGGTTAATTTCAAATTCAGACAAAGTTCAAACGGATTATTGTAATATTTCGTGTATTCCATTACCTTTCTATCCCTACAAAAAAAATTTTGACATTTCAAAAACAAGATAGGAACAACAAATTAATTATTCATGGCCGTGCCAACTTAAAAATATAAAAAGATTTATTGTTTGCCGCATATGAATTGTGAAATGGAAAATACTGTATGATGTTGTGTGGGTTTTGACAGAGGCAAACGGGAACGGGACGGAGACGGAAGGCATTGCTGAGTTTGAATTTCTACGGTATTGGCGCCGTGAGGTTGGCAACGCTGATTTCGACCCTATTTCTTTTCTTTGCTGTAGTTTCTATTTTACTTATCTTGCACCGTCCGCCGTCGGCAACGGCATTGCCTTTGCACCTGCCATTGCAATAGGGACAAAGATATTCAAAGTGCACAATGCTTGTCTTTGGTATGTTAACGCTACATTTACAAATATAGTTATCATTTATGACAAGATACAAGAAGGAATAAATTATGCTCACACTAAAAATAGATATGAAAGTATGCAAGTTTTAAATTGAATTTGCTTGTTGCACGGACCTCTTTTATATCGTGAGTAACATTTTTGTGACGGAAATTTTGTATGTTACACGAGCTGCTTTAATACCGTGAGTAACTTTTTGTGACCGAAATTAATTGTATGTTGCACAGGCTGCTCTAATATAGCCGAGTAATATTTTTGTGACGGAAATTAATTGTATCTCGTACGGGCTGCTCAATATCGTGAGTAACATTTTTGTGACGGAAATTTTGTA